GCTTACGCAATACGAGAGAACCTCTCGTAAGAGAACGAATCGGTTACCTAACGTAACCTCGGTTCTCTCTAGATGAGGGAACGAGTATTGCGTTCCCGGCCGTGCTTGCGCCACTAGCGTTTCGCTTCATGCTACAGAATCAACGAACGAGCTGGGAGAGCGACCTTTATACACTGTAGCCACGCCCCTTTTGGCGGGCTGTGACGCAGTGAGCGAGCGCCGTCCGCTCATTGGCCGCGGACTCAGCGCCGCTCTCCCATAGGTTCGTGCATTCTCTCTGAGCGAACCAATGAGCCGCTAGCTAGCCCGCTCATGGTCTGCCTCAGAGGAGACTGCGTTGACAATGATTACAAAATTATGGAATAATTTTTTGGCTTCAACTTCTCAGCAAAGATGAATCTTTCCCGTAGCGTAAGCTAGCTTACGCAATACTCGTTCCCTCATCTAGAGAGAACCGAGGTTACGTTAGGTAACCGATTCGTTTTTGCTAATGAACTTCAGTCTACCAAGGAAAACGGAGCGAAGGGCGAAGCGTGTTGGCACCCTGACACTTTCCCGCTTCTCTTGTTGCCTAGGATACAGAGAGTAGACGCAGTGGGAATCGTAAACAAACAATCTTTTTGGAAATATGTACGCCCTTTATGAATTTAGTAACCTTACAGTTGAAGTTGGCCGGTTGAACCTTATTGAGGGTGATTATGAACCTGATGTGGACAAAGAATATGTGGTATGGTGGTCTAAAAATGGAAAAACGACTGCTTGGACTGCCAAGATATTGGCAACTGATGGTAAATATTTTCACTCACAGCGGATATTCAGGAAATCTAACTTTACATTCTATATAGTTGATGAATAAAGATGAATAGAAGATGAATAGAGATTAATAAAACATAATTATAGCGGATAAAATATAATTAAAGTTAATATTATATAATATGTAAGGGATAATGGAGAGGGAGGCGGTTGCGAACCCTGAGGCGAACCCTGAAGCGGCCCTGAATGGGTTGTGGGTTGTATCGCGCTATTATAACCGCCTCCATCTACATTATCCAGCTTATTTCAGGGTTACCTACCAAATAAATCAATAATTTTACACAAAATATTGATTTAAAAATGAGTTTATTGATTTTAAAACGATTGTATTGCGTCAAGAACACATGTGTCCATGGCAACGGTGTGTTATCCTTAGCAGTATGTTATCAAGAAATAACACGCATTCTACATTTGTATTAATATAATGTAAATGTACTCATATAACTACAATATGATGCCGATTTGTCCGGTTTTTATATGTCCAACAGAACAGTGTTCCTCCGCAAAATCTCATGAATCTAAGTTACAGACAACGGCACGTCTGAAGGAAAGCTCAGTGGGACTGGCTTGTAATGGCTATAATTCTGTAGCACTAACGGAGATAGATGCAAACGAGATTTCATACAGTACTAGGGAGCACTAAGGTTTATCAAAGCCTAAAAAAAGAATAGCGGTTGGCAAAACAATATGTGCATTAACGCAACCATGGGGTGTGTGTGAATCGGATTAGTTATTAACTTACAATATTTAAAATAAATTAAAATAACGTAATTATAAATATGTAAATAAAAAATTAACTAATATTTTTTTCCAATTATATCAATATATTTTTTTTTATTTAAAAAGGAAAAAAAAAATCTATTTTTTTCTTTTTTTATAGTTAAAAAGAAATATATATATTTTTTTAACTATAATATAACATGATCTACTGTGTCACGTCTACCTGTATTATGCTGCCCTATTTTAAACAATGTACTATAAACATGAAGCATGATTATAGTACTTTATTGCAACAAATATCTTGATCCTCTTGATAGAAGACAAAGGTGCACTCATTCGAATGAGGAACCGGCTGGTGGAAGGCATGGATGGAGAAGAACAGGAAAAGCACATGGGAAAGGGCAAGAGGGTAAAAAAGAAGAAGCCATTTCTTGAGGATGACATGGAACAGTCAGAGGTGAGTTATTCAAATTATTTAAAAATATCCAAATACCATAACTGTATATATGTGCACGCTCAGACATTTGTATGTATTTTATTGTCTGTTGTCAGGAGAGGCCAAGCAAAAAGAATAAGCCGGCGATGTCCTCCTCTTCCTCTGAGATTATAAAAAAATACAAGGACCTTCAGAAGGTATCTGTTTTAAGAAATACTAAATCCGATGTACAGTGACCTTGCTTGACAAGTTAACATAGCCATACCCATTTAACAGGGGTGAAAGAACTACTCAGAGTAAAGGAACTCTAGCACGTACTGTACACCACTGCCTTTTAAACATAATAACATCTATAAGGATTTGATTTTAACTGTGAATGAATGATTTGAAGGTTTTGTTATAGACAAGTTATTTTGTTATTATAGGCAAGAGACCAAATGGCCAAAAACAGCATCAATGAAGAGGGTGACGTGAGGACATTAGAGCAAAGGGTTGCTAAACTTGAGAGGGAAAATTCTTCCCTGAGGAATGCTTTGAGCATCATTGAAGGTAAGTTGGTTATTAACCGTAATGTGTATTTTTAACTTTACAAATACTTTGATTTACTAAAAACCTGTAAAGCTAAAGACATTACTATCAGCCATATACAAACACCAAACGGTCTTTCTAAAGATGGTTAATATGCTGGGCTGTAGACTATTTCTCTTGTTTTGTAGTATAAATTGCTAACAGACACTATAAATCTAGGTCTTCCTAAGATGATTTCATCAATGCAGCAGCTTATCTCAGCTCAGCCAAACAAGCAATCTTTCCCAAGGACCATGGTATGCTGTGTATATATATACAATATATACAATATAAAACAATATATATATACATACACACACACGCATATATATATATATATTCATCTGCTACTGTATGTCTTTATTACGGAGGCGTATTGCATTCACTTGAAGAAAAAAAATCTACTCTGTTTTTCTGAATTAACGAGTTAATTTTTCATGAGAAAAAAATATTTTGCTCTGTTTTTCTGAATTAACGAGTTAATTTTTCATGGATTTTTTTTTTTTTGGCTCTGTTTTTCTGAATTAACGAGTTAATTTTTCATGGAATTTTTTTTTTTGCTCTGTTACAGAGCAAAAAAAATTTCTTATGAAAAATTAACTCATTAATTCAGAAAAACAGAGCAAATTTTTTTTATGAAAAATTAACTTGTTAATTCAGAAAAACAGAGTAGATTTTTTTTTTCAAGTGAATGCAATACGCCTCCGTACTTTATGTCTGCTATAGTTACAATGTGTAAAAAAATATTGTTTATTTTATAAACAAACTCAATTGAAATGGATAGTAAATAACAGTAGATGACTATCATATTTTTGATAAAATCCCACTTCAAAATATCTGAACTATCCCTTTAATGCATACAGAAAGACAACAATGATGTGGCAGAAGCACCATGTATGCCGCACACCTCAACTGCTGGACCCAGTTTGCAGGTACATATATGTTGCTGTTTAATGGTTCATTTGAATTAGCTTTTATATGTTGGTGTTTTTCTTAGTTATAAATCAAATCTGTTTTTTATGTCTGTCCTCTTTCTTGTGAGTAACATACTTCTGTGCTTTTTAAATACTGTATGCAGTCTTCCAGATCACAGCTGCCTGTGGATGTGTGTTCTTCTGTGGCTGTCTGTCTGGTAAGTTATATTCACTAATAACAGAAGTATATTACAAAGTGGGACCAGGGAACTTCTGCAAATAGAAATCTGAGATAATTAGGAAGATTAACTAACTTATTTAGTTGTCCCCTTTGAATTTAGATATCTCCTGAACAAGCTTTGGCAATATGACCCAATGTGATACCAATTTATGTTCTTAGGATATTCCACAGGGAATCAAGGACCGCTGCAACAAGGTCTCAGCAGCTAAATATACCAATGATTTAATGCATGGTCTGTACACCACCGAATTCATGGCATCTCACAGTGTGACTGGGCTTGGATCATCAAGTAAGGGGGAGACACGACCATCACTCCCTCATGAAGATGTCAAGAAGATTATTTGTAAGTATTTTTTCTTCAGTGGAAATCAGTAATGTGCCATCCATATATTGTATGTCTATGTGTCTATCTGTAACTTGTCTGTTCTCCTTTCCTTTACTTCTTTTCTCTCTTTAGATGAAGTTAAATCTGTCTTCCCTGAAAAGAACGATGCTGAAATAAAGGGATTCATCCGCCAGAAGCTATCGAATGCGGCTAAGATTGTGAAAAGAAAATCCTAAATCTATGGGGGGGGAAAAAAAATAATAAAATGTGAAAGAAATTACAGTTACTGTGTTTTTATTTGCCTGAGCTAAATATTTAATTTCATGTTCCATTGTAAATTGACAGTTGTATGGTACAAAAAGCATGGTAAATATATATATATACCATGGTACATGTCCCATTGTATTATTAAAAATATTATTATATATACCATGGTACTTTAATAGTACCATGGTACATGTACCATGGTACTATTAAAAATACTATTAGATATACCATGGCACATGTACCATGGTACTATAAATATACCATGGTACATGTACCATGGTACTGACAAAAATACCATGGTACTAGTACCATGGTATTTGTACCATGGTACAAATACCATGGTAAAATTTCTTCTCTATTCAGTTTAATAACAGCAGATTGTTGTTGATTGACGTTAGGCTTCATCTGTCTGTCTACTGTAACGTTAAATGTCTTCTTCAAAAATACTTTCGATTTCACATCACACAAACAACAGCCTAACACGGAAGAGGAAATGGGAGAAAACGTTTTAGAAACATATTCGTGTTGAACAAACGTTTCTCAATAAAACATTTTGTGTTTTAACTTCAAAAGACTGTAATTTCTGTCAGATTCTTCTTCTGTTCAGAGTAGCAGAAGAACAGCCTTCTGTAACTTCACATTTAAATCTCGCTTAATATACAAAATGAAGTTCCTAATAATTACAAATGACTGTAATGGAGAATGTAATAAACTTACTTGCAGTCTTATATTTGGTTGGTATTGTGCTAAATCGACATTTGTAGACATGTTTTCTGAATCATAGATGAAATCAATTCCAGTGAGCGACAGGTTTGGGTGTGGACCAGGTGTTGCTTTAGTTTTCTTCTTCTTCTGTGATTTTTATTGGCAGTTTGCAAGCTATGTGCATTACCGCCATCTACTGGAATGGGTGTGATCACATTGGGAGAGAAAATTTAATAAATAAATAACAGAGAGTTAGAGCCCAGCTTCAGCTGGCGTTACGTGTTTAGCTCCTCCAGCTTCAACCTCGACCCAACCTCCATAGAGAATAAAATAAAACTAAAATAAACACTAAGACTAAATTCGTTTTGCTAACTGTGTTCTTTTAAGAAATTCTATCACTGCTTTTATTGTAGACTGTATCCCTGGTATTTTCAACAAGTTGCTTAAATTAACAGATTTTGTTACCCTCTTAATCTTTTCTCTCTCTTCATGATACTGCCTACATATCAAAAGTACATGCGTCACAGTTTCTATTTCCTCACAATATGGGCACACACCTGTCTCATGCTTCCCTATTCTATGTAGATTACTGTTCAGTCCTGTATGTCCTATCCTCAGCCTAGTAAACCATGTTTCCTCCTGTCGTGTTAATGAACTCATTTTAATAACCGTAATACTTTGTTGTATACTATATAAATGCCTACCTTGTCCCCCCTTATCCCATTTATCTTGCCAGATTTTACGAATACCATCTTTAATTATTGTTTTAATTTCTGATTTACTAAGTGGAACCTGTATTTCTACTTGTTCTGTTTTAAGTGCTTCTTTTGCCAGTTCATCTGCCTTCTCATTACCCTCAATACCGGTGTGCGCTGGAACCCAAGTGAAATGTATTATTAATTTCTGTTGCGTTATTCTGAATATCATCTGATGAACTTCATCTAAAAGATCCTGCCTGCATTCAGATTTCCCAGTCTGGATACTAGTTAAGGAGGACATAGAGTCCGAACAAACTACCGATTTGTATGGCTTCACTTCTTCTACCCATTGTAATGCCATTATGATGGCCCTTTAGTTTTCTTCTTCTTCTTCTTCTTTTTGTTTCATGGCCGTTCACTCCTTTGGAGTATTACCGCCACCTACTGTATACCTTACGCACATGATTAATGGATCTAATTAAGAAGGAGGAGAAAAAAAAAAAAAAAAAAAAAAAAAAACATCCCATAGTATCAGAGCTCGTGTATCAGCTGACGCTGCGTGTTCAGCTCCTCCAGCTTCTACACTGAGCTCCTCAAACCTCAGGATGATCAGAAACTTGTTCTCCTCCTCAGGCTAGATCCTGTGATCTAGTCCTGTAAGCTCTAAAAAGGTTATCACTTCCTTAAACCTTTCTCTATGACTCAAACCCTTTCCCAATAGGTCCATAATGCTCACTGGCCTGTTCTTTATATTTCTAAAAAGAGTCCTACGCTGATCTTCATATTTACTACACTTAAAAAACACATGTTCTACTGTTTCAAGTATGCCACATTCATCACACATACCATTTCCATGCTTTCCCATTAATGCCAGTGTTGATTTTAAACCTGTATGACCCATCCTTAATCTAGAAATCATGACTTCTTCCTTTCTATGTCTTCCATAGCACGAATATTTTATCCCTACTGATTTTACAATATTATAATACCACCTACCTGTACTGCTACTTTCCCATCTTTGTTGCCATATTCTTATTATTTCTCTATTAATTATTGATCTGACTTCATTTCTTCCTAAAGGTATCTTAATATCTATCAAGTCTTTCCTTAATGCTTCTTTTGCTAATTTATCCGCTATTTCGTTTCCTACTATCCCAATGTGTGCCGGTACCCAACAAAAGTATACAAGTATCCCCTCTATGTTCAGCCTATATAATAATGTATAAATTTCTACCATCAAGTCTTCTCTGTCTGTTTTTGTTGATAGTATACTTTTAAGTGCTGCTGCAGAATCTGAACAAATTACAGTCGCCATCCTATTTGGCTTAGTCTGCTCTAACCACTGCAATCCTACAATTATAGCAGTTAATTCTGATGAATATACAGATATTTTGTCACTCAACCTTAAACTTATTTTAGTCTCAAATTTTGGAATATATACTCCTGCTCCCACTTTTTGTTCTACTGGGTCTTTAGATCCATCTGTATAGATCTGTATACAAGAATAAAAAACTTCTCTCATAAAAGCATTAATTTCATGCCTATTAGTATCTTCCTTCCGCTTTCTCCCTATCCTCCAGCAATCTCATTTCAACATTAGGCTCAGGTATATTCCACACTGATACCCCTTTTAATGGAATATTGGGACAAATATCTACATTTTCCAGCCCACATTCCTCAACCCACTGTTTATACTTCCATCCAAAACTATTCCCATTATTCTTTTTATATTCCCAACAGTCATTTAAAATTGCTTGTGTACAATGGCTCTTACTACAACCCTGCAAGTTAACCCAGTACATCATTGTAAGCTTTTCCCTTCTTAAATCTAGTGGCATCTCCCCCATTTCAACCCTGATGGCATCGAGGAGTTGATCTTATTGCTCCACAGCAGATCCTAAGTGCCCTAGCTTGTATGTTGTCCAACTTCTTTAGCTCTGACTTTGATGCACCACCATACACTGCACACCCATAATCTAAACTAGACCTTATCAATGCTTGATATACATGTAGTAGTGCACTTTTCCTTGCTCCCCACTCATATCTGGCTATAGAAGTCATACAATTTATTACTCTTTTGCACTTGTTCTCAATTTTCTTAATATGTCTATTCCATGTTAATTTTTCATCAAATATAAGCCCAAGGTATTTAAACTCTGTCACTCTTTGTAATAATTCACCATATAATTTCAAAGTAATTTGTTCCATTTTCCTTTTCTTGGTAAAAACCATATATTGGGTCTTCAATACTGAAAACTTCAATCCCCATTCTACCGACCATCTCTCTACTTCATTTATTGATTCTTGTATTCCTTTAACTACATTCCCTAAGTTCCTACCTCTTCTCCACACAGCACCATCATCTGCATATAGTGCCTTCCCTATACTTGGTTTCACTCTTTCATAAATATCATTAATCATTATGTTAAATAAAATTGGACTGATTACACTTCCTTGAGGAGTCCCATTCAGAATATCATGCATTGTTGAAATTTCTTCCCCTATTCTAACTTGAAATGTACGTTTAAACAAGAAATCCAATATCCAGTTGTACATTCTCCCCCCTACTCCAATTTTATCGAGCTTAATTAAAAGTCCCTCTCTCCATAAAGTGTCATATGCCTTTTCAATATCGAAGAAGACAGCAACAAGAAATTCTTTCATTGTTAAAGCTTTTTTAACCTCATTTTCAAATAATAACAAAGCATCCATTGTAGATCTTTTCTTCCTAAACCCACTTTGAGCTGAAGACAAAATCTCATTTTTCTCCAAGAAATAATTTAATCTTCTTACTATCATTTTTTCCATCACCTTACATAATGTAGATGTAAGAGCAATTGGCCTATAACTACTTGATTTTGTTGCATCTTTACCTGGTTTTGCTACTGGTATCACTACTGCGTTTTTCCACTCTTTGGGTAAGGTACCTTCATTCCATATTTGGTTGTACACATGTAGCAGGTATATGTTGTTACACCAGATTATGAATAATTTTGTTTTATTTTTATTTATTTTTATTATTTATTTCGGGGCATTTTATTTTGAAAGACGTTCGTGTGCTCTTACTGAGGGTAACGATCGCTGTATGCACGTCGGCTGACGTCATGCGCACGAGGGAGGTTCAATTAGCAGTGCAATCGGAGATTCATCCTCTTTCCTGCAATGTCACTTGAGGAGAGGTATGTTTTCATGAGCTCCGTGCACTTGATAAACAATTTGAGTTATAAGAGTTCATGTTAGGTTTAAACAATCATTTGTGAAAGAGTATTCATTTAAGTATTATATTTGACTATTAATTGGTGTCATTAGATTGTTAAATTAAGTTCATTTGTGAAATGGTAATGAGTGTGTAGTGCACTGCGGTAAATGGCGGCGCGGTGTGTACATCACGAGTGAGATATGTTAATGATTAAGTGACTAACATCTCGATTTAGTGAAATTTGAGACACATGCATATAAATGCGTATATTTGGTACGCATACTAAAGATTTAGTCTACTTTATTAATAGATATTGTGCATTGCATTTACTATGTGTTTTGTAATTAACCAACTGGTGTACTTAAACATGTATTTTGTGATTAGCAGGCAAAAGAGCTGAAGTTAACAGTGCCTGTCTGTTTATGTGTTTATCATACAGGTATGTTAATTGGTATCTAAGAAACACTGTAATGCTGTTTTGAACTATTTGCCTATAATTATATATTTTTGTGAATTGATTAGAATAATTAATTATAATATTGTTATTATTATATATATATTGTATGTGTGTGACATATTGCATGTGTCCTCTTTCCTGCAATGTCACTTGAGGAGAGCAGGCAAAAGAGCTGAAGTTAACAGTGCCTGTCTGTTTATGTGTTTATCATACAGGCATTGTGAATAAATTCGTCATTCATATCACCAGCTTTGCGTGGAACATTCTTTTATTCAAAAACAACTAAAATTACACAACGCAGAAGAACAACCGCTACACACATCCAGTATTGCTTTAATGGCTACGTCTGGTAAGTTTTTTAACATACTATAACTTATCATGTCTCTCCCTGGTGTTGTATCCTTTGAATTGCTGATAGCAATCTTTAGTTCAAAGAGATTAAAATCATCATCCATATTACAATCAACTTCTTGTTTTTTCCTACAAACATTCATACACATTTTATTTAACTCTTGTCTCCTTTTTAAAAACCTATCACTCAAGTTTTCAATGCTATGGACTTTAGCAAATGTTTTAGCCAATATTTCGACCTTTTCTTTATCTGTTCTGGCCACCTTTCCATCTTCCTCAATTGCAGGAACTTGTTTATGAATATTAATACCGTTCATTTTCCTTATCATTCTCCATACCACATGCATTCCAGTCTCTCTCCCAATTGTGTAACAGAACTCCTGCCAGGCTTTCCTCTTTGCATTTTTAATTACCCTT